ATCCGAATTATTTTATCCATACCAACTTTATCCAAATGATCAATATTTAAATATATGATAAAAGAACAAAAGTCCGCGCTGCGAGCTTCTTATTTGTTATGTATTAATTTGTCTGTAGAATTTAAATTGAATTATGAAACATTTTGACATTTAATAGGGGTTAATATAAAACATTAATGTGAAAATTCATTTTAATTTTCTCTCACTACCAACTACCTCAAGTTAATGAGGGAAAAATTTGTTGCTGTTGTCTTGTACCTTAGAAGTCAGAGCATTGGTGCGTAAAGCCAAAGGTCCCGGGTTCGATTCCCGGCAAGCGTGAGACAACAGCAACAAATTTTTCCCTCATTAACTTGAGGTAGTTTGTAGTGGTTGAAACTTAAAATAACTTTTCCCATTAATATTTTAATCTAAATTTGTTGCTTTGCTAAAGGTATAGTAGGTATGTAAAGATAAACTACGAAAGAAACACATGGAAAAATCAGCCTTTACTGAATCTAACGCTATTTAACATAAATCTCGACTCGGCCATACTGTTTATAGAGATATTATCTACTCTAACAGAGGGCGTTATAGAAATCAATAAAAAACAGGCAAGATAGATTGTCTGATATAATATTCAAGAAATGCGAAGATTGACCCAAGATTGAAAGAAGTGGAATTGCATATCCAACCAGTCTGCGGGCTGAAGACCGTATAATTATTATCTATTCACAATCAATAATGGTTTAATCCATTTGCAAGAACTGAAATTAACTGAAATCATTACCGGTTATTTGAAATGTTTAGTATAAAAATTTTCCATACAGTGAAATCCATTTTAAAATTCATCAAGCAGAATAAAAACTAAGCTTTGAATAGATCAGTCAAATTCAGCATTCTCTCAAAGCTTTTATTTAGGTAATTAACTAAATATATAGATTCATTTTAATGTGTATTATAGAAATAAACAAGATGTTAAATATACTTAAAAATTTAGGAATGAGCTACAAAGACAGAAGAGTGATACTTAGTTTGTATAAAGAGCAACAGGCAGTTATAGAGCTAGGGATGCAACGTAGAGAAGTAAATATTAGGAAGGGAGTCAGGCAGGGATGCACACTGTCNTTGATCAACTTTAAATATTATGAGTTTCTTGGAAGTTGATCACACTTATAAAAAATAATTTAATAAATCCAATATTTAATATTACCTTAGAAATAGTTAGTAATGTTTTTTAATTAAAGGTGCACGTTACGGTTAGTTAAGAATGTTACTATTTTGTAAGTAGTCATTAATTTTATTTTATTTATAATAAAAGACCGTCTGAAAAAGTTACAGCAGGAGTTGTGACGGAATAAATTAAAACAAAATCAAATTAGTCATGTTTGACTCAAACGGTGTTAGATGCTAAATTCTTTATTTAATGATAGTTATTATTTAACTCTGTTAGGTTTCCTTCATTCAAAAAATAAGTGTAATTAAGTTTCTAGCCGAAAATTGACAGAGTGTTGAAAGAAGGTATCGTCGACTATTTAACTTCTAAAAAAGGTTTTGTATTTCACATTGCTGCCTTTGCACTTACATCCTGTGTTATTTTCATACTTCCCACATTAGGCCCAACCGCAGAACTCTTGCCGTTTACATTAATATTGGCAAGGTAATAGCCAGAGCCGCCTTTCAGCAAGTTCGTTGATTTGATACTACTATCAACACGCGAGTTGAAATAAAGTGCAGTGATCTGTCCCTTTGCTTTGTTGATAGTCATTGACAGCCTTTCGTTTTCGAGCACCACATTGCTGCCATCGGTGACACACAAGCGTTGAAACGACAGTGCCTTGCATTGTTCACCTGAGCAATGGATTAGTTAAAAAATATATAAACAAATAAAAATTCATGAAACAATACAATAAATCATAAGTGTTTAGTGTTTTACTTTAAATATATTATGTCATAAATTGCTAAACGCAAAACACTAATTCGTCTAAGTGTGACTTTCACATTGAGAACCATAATTTACTTTAACAATAATTATGTAGTTTTTTCCAGGGTGACGGCCAAATAATTACACAACCATACGTTTTGTGTAACGTTTCGGTTTATTCAATCATCTTCAGACTTTTGAAGTGTTACTGCTTGTACACAGATATTAATTTATCTTTAAACATTCTATCATGTTGAACAACAGCATCGGTATGCAGTTAATATCTGTGTACAAACAGTAACACTTCAAAAGCCTGAAGAGGGTTGAATAAACCGAAACGTTACAAAAAACATATAGCTGTGTAATTATTTGACCACCATGGAAAAAACTACATAATTTAATAGTAACTTAAATTTAACAATAATTCATTAATTGAAGCATCTAGCATTTTACAAAATTAAGCAAACATTTTCTTGCATTTAGGCATAAATATTTTGTAATTTGAAGTATCTTTCTTTGGGTCTCACATTGACAACACTAATAACATAAATAATAATAGTGAGCGTCAAGCCAAACGCGTTTCGTATATTGTAAAATAGTAAATGAGCAAATATGAAAGTAAGGATCTTAAGTACAACAACTCATGTTAATGCGTTAATTCTTATTTATTATTTTACAATCTAAGAATACCACTTGGCCAGCAAATTAACCACGCATACAATCTGTTTGTTTAAATTCTAATCATGAAAAATTCAAGTAATTACCGTAATTGCATCTACCTAAATAGCTTACCTGACGATGTATGGACAAGCAACAGGACCAAACTCACTATTAGACTTTTAGTTGACATCTTTGACAAAATGACAATTGAGAATTCGATCTTCGATGTATTTATGCCTTAAGTGTGAAGATCGGTTCGTCTGATAGCGATTTGTTGAAATAAAAAACACTTGACATAATCTGAAAAATGATAATGTTGATCTCGCTGTCATGCATTATAAAGGTGAGCTCCAAAATTTAATTGAGAAACTTACGGAAAAGTTTGACTTATTTTCTCAGAGGTTTTGTCTGAATCGGTATCGGTACTGATAAAAGCACTTTAATTACTTGCAATAGACAGCTTTAAACAATATCACAGCTGACACCCTGGGGATATTTATACACGAACCACTTACCAATAACAAATGCTGCGGGTGTTAAGCAAGAGAGTGGTGATTTTCAATGCACANAAAACTATAACCTGATTCAGTAATATGAATCGCATAAGTTGAATCTTTTTTTTTTAATAACTACTTCTACGATCTAATAGCTGTTTGCGAATACTCTGCATTTGTCCTACCTAGAGTTTAGGAACCCACAAGTTAATTTGTAACCTCTCGGTAATTTTTCTTTAGTAGCATTACTTATCGTTATTACTGTTTATAAATTTGTTTACTGAGTGATTTGTCTTATAAGTCATTTTAAGACAACGTGTGAATAAATTTTTTTCCATAATAGATTTAGATTATATTTACAGTATTTTCCATTTAGTCAGGCACATGCAACAACTTTAAAAGAAATGTCTGTTTGGGTCAAAACTAAATAACAATTTCATGTAAAACTAATAATGACTTAATCACTTCTTTTAAAGCATTTATTCTCTTCTTACCCATAATTTTTGTATCAAAATTATAATATCAACAAATAAAATAAATTATAATAGTATGTATAATTTGGATACTGTCATAATTGGATGGGTTTAGTGGGTATTAAAATGATAATAAGATAATTATTTTCCATCATCCAGATAGCATATACATAGTGACCATATTTTTTTTGTAAAAGCGGGACGTCCGTAATAGAATTATGTAAAAAAATTTGTTATTTTACAATTTTTTT